TGCAAAGCAGATTTTCTGTATTGGAAAGGAATGAAAGGCCACACACAATTGTGCTGTCAAACCACTCTCAAACTTAATCCAGGCTTCTCCACCTGTTCACAGGACTGTGTAGCTCACACACTGTCTTAGTCTCTAGGGGCCCCTCTGGTCCCCACAAAAATGTCTTGGTGGTTTTGATTTTACGAGGCTGGGACCCCCTCTCAGGGCTCATTATTTTGGGGTGGGGGCTGACTGGCACTCCAGCCCTTGTTTTCAATAAGCAGGGATTTCCTTTTATTTCTATGGTATGTCGCATGTCATTCATGGGCTCTGTAGATCTATTGTCATCACAGGCTTTTCTGGCCCTTGTTTTGGATCGGCAGGGCTCAGATGTGGTTCTGATGCGATAGCCAAATGAAGGTCCATAAAACGATGGCAGGACGCTGAGAGTGGGAGAGGGATTTCTGTCCATCAGGGTAGACGGGAACGTTAGCGCTGTAGCTGTGGCCGGGTAACGTGTTTTGATTATGAGTTTGGCATCAGAAGCTTTGTATGAACTTCTATTCGATTTGGTTCTCCTATATTCGCCTTCAGTCTTCTCTGTAATGTCATATTCTTGCTTGTCCTCTACAATATTAAACGATCTGTCAATGTCACATTGATTTTCTATGATTTCGTGTTGTCTGTTGTCATCTGTGATGTCTTGTGGACGTTTTTCGTCAATCATGTCATTCTCAAAAGTTTCCTCAGGAGTGTCATTCTCCCAGGTATCTGTATTATCATACTGCATGCCATCTGTGGAATCATTTTGTCCTTCATCTGCTGTTTTATTGACGGTGATGCCTTGTTTTTGGCTCTCCATGGGGATGTCATGCTCTCTGAGTTCCTCTGTGACGTCTTGCCTCTCATATACCTCTGAGCTGCTTATAAGGAAAACAAATTGTCAACACTTGAAGGAAAAATGTGGAAAACAGCTTTCAGCTGAGTGTTCACACCACATCTTGTTTAACCTAAAAGAAAATTCCAGCCAAGTAACACCCAATGCATGTGGACTATATTTGTTCACAGATTAAAAGACTGTTTGTCTGCAGGGCAAATTTTTTTTACAGCATATTACTTCTAAAACTATGAGGTTTCAGATGTCCAAACGTCATAAAGAATGATTACATCCTAAGGCTAAGTAAACCAGAAATCCCTTCTCGATTGCTGCACCCTGGAGACCTATGTTCAGTGAAACGAGTTTTGCTAGCCTGGAACATGAGCGAAACCTGGAAATACCAAATGTGAAATGATATTTGCAGCCTGAA